CTGAACCCTTTATTTCACTCAGTGGGGTAGAGTGTTCTAGTTCCAAGTGCCATGTTTTAATGGATGTCAAGTTATCAGTTACCTCCTGTTAATTCTCCTCTCTAAGTTCTCCACTGCCTTAACCGGGTATTTTTGGTCCTGTCACTGGATCTAACCAATGCCTTTATCCACTGTGCCATGTGTCCTTGAGGACATCAGTGTATGAATTTCTGGGTATTATAGACCTAATATCTTCAGCGCCATTTTTTACCAGTGATCATATTTCAATTTTTGCTGTTATCATAACATGTTTTTACCAGTGCTCATATTTCAATTTTTGCTGTTATCATTGCATGTTTTTACCAGAGCTCATATTGCAATTTTTGTTGTTGTTATCACTTTTCTCTGGCACTCTTTATTACTGTTGGTTGTTATTCCATAGTGCCTGTCTATGAGATCAGATGAAGGACAGTCCTCTTCAAGACTTTCTGGGCTCATCTCCTTGAAGCCATTTTTAAGCAGTGATCTTGGATATAGCTGATAGTTTAGACATTTCTGAATGAGTTAGATGGCATAATTAAAAATGTAAAATAATCATTATGTGCGAGTTTTGATTTGCTGTTTCTGTTTGCTTAGACAAAAATAAAATGAAACAAGGGGAAAGCAATGACGAGAAAGAAGAGAAAACATAAGTAAACTTTATTGTCATATGCTATATATTCTTTCAGATTTTATGGTTGCAATGAAAATCCTTTACTTCATAAAAAAACAAAAAAACTGTCAAGTGTGATACATAAAGATGTCACAACTTGTTTTAGATTTTCTGAAAATTGCCCCAAGGCTTTAAAAAGCAGTTTTATGAAGCATTTATTTTCTAGCACAGTCACAACATATTTTCAGAAATATTCTTCATCGGATTTGTGAAAGGATTTTATAAAAAAACTTACACTATTTACATTATTCAGACTGTTGCCCTCATCTTTATTGTCATATTCACAATGTTTCTGCTGTTGTACACACTGACCTTCTTCAGGTGATATACATTGGAATTTTCGAACTGAAGCCTTTATTTTGCCCACTGGGGTCGATTGTTCTAGTTCCACATGCCATGTCTTTTCTGGATATCTCGGTTTCAATTATTTCCACTTTAGTAACTCAACTGGGTCATGTGATTTGTTTGTTTATGACTTATAAACTTTTTGCAGATTATTTAAAGCCAGAAAATATTTTCAAATTGTAAGAATTTTTTAGAAGATTATAATAATTTAGTGATAAAATTCCTACTAATTAGCCCATAACTGTGTGGAGAAAAGGTGGATTCATACATTTCCCAATAGTATTTGCACATAAGTGAATATAATGAACCTGACTGGAATTGGAACTTGGTTCTGCGATTTCCAATTCTGAGCCATTATCCATTGCGCCACTTGTGCATCCAAGTTCAGAGTATCTGATATTCCCAAGCACTCATTCATTTAGGTTCTGATCCCCCTATATTTCTGAGATGAGGCATTATAATTATTTACACTATTTACATTGTTCAGACTATTTTCCTCATCTTTATTGTCATATTCACAGTATTTTGGCTGTTGTATGCTCCGGCCTTCTTCAGCTGATATACATTTAAATTTTGAACCAAACATTTTATTTTGTCCACTGGGGTAGATTGTTTCGGTTCCACATGCCATGCCTCCCCCGGATATCTCAGTTTCATTTATTTCTCCTTTAGTAACTCAATTCTCCAAGTTTTTGTTCACCTCTACTGTGGTCAGGTATTGAACTCACAAATCTTTGTGTCAAGTCACTGGATTGCTTCAACTAATGCTTTTATCACCTGAAGAAGGCCAGATTGTATAATGACCAAAACGTCATGAATATAACAAGTTCATTAACTGTTAGAGCCTTTTCTAATATTGATGGGTGGGTTCCTTTCAGGAGGGGAGTTAATCAAAGAGTGAAATAAAAATTTAATTTCAGAAATTTGAAACTGTCTCTGTTAATTTCCTTGTACAAGATTCCTTTAGTCCCACAAGATGGTGTGAATTTGAATCCATGTTTTGATAAGTGAGACTGAAGTAGACCTCCCACCCCCTACTTGAGTCTTAGGAACATGCAATCCTGGATTTAGCTCCAGGCATCACCAAATTTCTGCATGTCAATACCTACCTTTATCATCAGCATTATGAATAAAAATATGAAAAAAGTTTTCTCTGAAAAATTTTAAAAAATTTTTTTCATTTATACTTAGAGAATTTGGTGTGGAACTTAATGGAAATTAATTCTTGCTTTATAAAAGAAAATTGGTTGTTTTATAACTAAAAAGAAAAGAGCACTTGTTGAAATACAAACATCTTGAAAGAATCATAAAAAACTTAGTGTATATTACATATAAATAACAAAATAGAATCACAATTCTTTCAGAAATCAAGATAATTGGGGAATAGAGTTAGTTGCCAATATTTGCTTTTTCATGATGAAAAAGAAAAAATGAATACAATTATTAATTAAGGTTTTTGGAGAAACCTTTACTAAATGTGGCACAATTCTATAAGTCAAGAAACAACTGCATTTAAACACTTCCAAGATTATGTGATGTAATTCCATGACAACTTAGATTACACTGACTACATCCCATATATAGTGGAAAGACATCCTTCAAAAAGTGTCATTTTTTCAGGTGGATATTCACAGACTTGGATATACATCCATCCAATGTTTACCTTTTTGACTTGTAAACAGGACCTATGTCGAACTTTTTTACTCTTTTGTAAAACCAAATCTATGTTTACCTTTTTGATTCTAGTGCATACCAAACATATATCTACCTTTTTGGCTGTAGTGTATACTGGATCTATATATATATATTTTTTTTTTACTTTATTGTAAAGCCATACTAATATTGATCTATGTCAACCTTTCTTTTAGGTTTTGTGAGGCATATATTTGACATAAAATAACAAGTCTTCAAATGTCACTAGATTCACTAATTTAACCTAATGAAAACATTTCTTGTTTGAGAATTCTTAGTGTTGGGCATACAAAGCAATAAAATGTTTATGGAAATGTTCTTGATGTTAATTAATGAAGAAAGACTGACATCAAAACTTGTATTTGATTTTTTTTTACTTCTATACTGAAAGGAATAAAACTAATAAGAAAAGAAAAATAACATGAATATTTGGCATTCAATGTCTGATCATATGTAAGTGATGTGAGATCATTTGGATATGTTAAAATCAAACAAGTACTGATGACAGACAAAGTGAGACAGAAATCCAAAGGTCCATAGAAATACAGAAAGATGCCTTTTAAAAGCTAAATAAAGTATAAAGAAACAAGAAAAATTTGTTAAAAATGAAGAAAAGTTTGCTTAATTTCTATTTTATATGAGTATCGCTATATGGCAGTGAATGCTGAGCATTCTGATCAGAGATGAATAGAAGACTGGTGGACACAGATAATGTGGTTCTTTTTTTTTTAATCAATTCACTCCAAGCAAAGCAATAATACCACTAAGATGTAGCCAATTCAAAACAGGGGACAAAGGATGATCCTCTGCTCCTATTCAAAAGACAGGGGAAGAGTGCAAACAGAACGACAGGCAAACATACCCAATCCTATTGAGGAGAAGAAAAAAAGAAATAATTAGTAAATAAAATTTCAGACATCAGATGGCAAAAGTATAAAGTTGAAGTAGACTTTAGAAGATTCCAGAAACTCAATTCTCATAATTGGCAAATAGTTCTACAGAAAGATTCTGAGGATACCATTGATGGAACATGTGAGAAATTAGGAAGGAAAAAGGATAGTGTTATGATGTTGATTTGGGGTTAGTAGAGACAAACGCCAAATAACACGTAACAATAAAAAGGGTTTTAATAGGTTGGTAAAAAGGTACAGAAATCGCCTGAGTCGTCAATAACTAGCTCAGCAAAGAACTTCTCGGTCTATCTGTCTCCTTTCCATGTCAACTGACATGCCACTATTTAAAGTCTTTGTTCGCAGACAAGTTCATCTTCAAGAGGGGTGGTAGTTTTCCGACACAACAGATAGCATATAGGAAACTTGTGCTTAGAATCAGAAAGAAATTATTGTAATTTCTGAAACAGCTTATGAGGGAAGAGGGTTTGGAGAATTTAACACTCACTGGATATACTGAAAGCAAGAGTGAGTGATTAAACAGAGTAACCTACCTAACGGACTTGTATAAATGAATGGCAGAAGAGTGACTAGCAGAGGTAGTAAGGGGACAAAACTTGCTTAGAGATACAAAGGATTGGAAATTGTGAAGAGCCATATTCTGAAGGTGTGATATATAAAAGAAAATAGTGAAGGACCTAGAATGTGTTGAAGCATTGTTAAATCCACTAACCTAAACAAGGTTATGGGATTTGTTTATATTTTGATTATAATTATTTGCCTTCATAGTAATATAGAGAACTGTGCTCTCAGGACCATTGAGAGAGTGTAATGGTTCAATCTTATGTCTAATGAGGACTTCCATTGGAGAACTGACCAATCAAGCATCCCCCAAACCATCACTCAGTGCCCTGTTAGCTGGCTTGGTCATGCCTTATGATAATCTGATGCCCACTTTAGTCATCTATCAGTTCAACCTCCCATCTGCAGACTGAAGACAACCTGACAGCAGTTCTGCTGCTGCAAGCTTGGGTGTGCAGATGGTGTAATGAATAATGGCTTGGAATGAGAAATCAGATATCTGAGTTCAAATTTCAATTGAGTTTGTTACATTCACTTGTGTGCAAATACCCTGGGGAAAGGTATGAATCCACCTCTTTTCTTCCCAGCTATGGGTTAAATAGTAAGAGGTATAAGAAAATTGTTATTATCTTCAAAATATTCTTATAATGCAAAAATAAGTTTTGGCTTTAAATAAACATAAAAAAGGTTGATAAGCTATAAAAAACAAATCAATCAATCAATGCATTCATCTCAGTATAACCAGGGAATATTTTTTTCTAACCATGCAGGCATAAAATATGACATTTTATATTTATCAGTTATATACAAAAAATGCAGTGAGAGGAGAGATATATAGATAGAGTGAGAGAGAATATGAGAAAGAGAAAGATGGAATGAGAGAGAGAGAGAAGGGGCTGAAGAGAGTAAAAAACACAGAGAATAAAGAGAAAGAGAGTGAGGAGAGACTGAAAATGAGAATGAGAGAGAGAGAGGATGAAAGGTAAGGAAAGAGGGAGAATGAGTGCAAGAGTGAGAGTGTGAGAAATGTGAATGACAGTGAGAGAGGGGATACAATGCTGAAATTGTGGGAAGAAGAATTTGTGTTTATATTTGATATTTATCAGTTATAAACAAAAAAATATGGTGAGGAGAGTGAGTGAGAGGGTAACAGATGTAGAGTGAGGGAGACAGAGAGGGTGAGAGAGAAGTATTGAGACAGAGAGAAACTGAAAGAGAGAGATAACATGTGAGAAAGAGATATAGAGGAAAAGAGACAGAGAGATTAATAAAGACAGAGATATTGAAAGAGAAAGAAAGAGAGAACGAGTGAAAGAGAAATCATCATGCACAGATTGGATGAAAAAGAATTTATGCATTTATGTCAGTCTATGGCCGCCTTAAATTTCCTTGGTTTATTGTAAAGAACATTCTGTTTTCCTGGCGATATTGTTACTTCAAATCTGTTTTTAGAGAAGAATGCAATTTTTCCCGACAAAGAAGATAAAAGGAAACAACATGAAAAAAGAATTTTAAAAAAAAATGCAGGTTGAACTGTTTTTCCTGAAATATATACAAGGAGGAAGGTTTTGGAATTCTTCTATTCACATGTATTTTTAAAAGAACATTTAGAATAAAAAGACCTATATCAGTATTGCCATACATAACAAATATGTAACATAACAAATTCTATAGAGGAGAAGAAAGAAATAAATAATTAGTAAAAAAAATCAGAGTTCAGACAAAGATGGCAGAAGTATAAAGTTCAAGTAGACTTTAGAAAGAACCAGAAACCCAAATGTAAACAGCAAACTAAGGAGAAATGTTTACTCCTGTTCAAAGAGAGTGTGAACCAGGTGAGAAATGTCTACTCCTGTTCAAACGACCAGTGAGTGTGAATGAGGTTATGAAACTATACTCCTGTTCAAAAGACCAGTGGTGTGAGCAAGATGAGGAAATTTCTACTTTGTTACTTCAAAAAGCCGGATGAGTGTGAACCAGGTGAGAAATGTCTACTCCTACCAAAAAGACTAGTGAGTGTGAACCAGGTGAGGAATGTCTAGCAAGACTAGTGAGTGTGAACCAGGTGAGGAATGTCTACTCCTGTTCAAACGACCAGTGAGTGTGAATGAGGTTATGAAACTATAATCCTGTTCAAAAGACCAGTGCGTGTGAGCAAGGTGAGGAATCTCTACTCCTGTTAAAAAAAACGGATGAGAATAACCAGGTGAGAAATGTCTACTCCTACTCAAAAGACTAGTGAGTGTGAACCAGGTGATGAATGTCTACTCCTGTTCAAACGACCAGTGAGTTTGAATGAGGTTATAAACTATACTCCTGTTCAAAAGACCAGTGTAGTGTGAGCAAGGTGTGGAATCTCTACTCTTGTTCAAAAAACCGGATGAGTGTGGACCAGGTGAGAAATGTCTACTCCTTGATGAAAAAAGAGACTAGTCAGTCTATGTGAAACAGGTTTATTGAATGTCTGTTTTCCCTGTTCAAACGACCAGTGAAGAATGAATGAGGTTAAGAAACTAAACTCCTGTTCAAAAAGACCAAAAAAATGCAGGTGAGCAAGGTGAGGAAAGGTTTTGGAATCTTCTCTTGTTCAAAAAGCCGGATGAAAGTGTGAACCAGGTGAGGAATGTCTAATTCTACCAAAAGACTAAATAAATAATGAACCAGGTGAGGAATGTCTACCCTACCCAAAAAAACTAAGGAGAAATGACTATGTTCAAGTGAACCAGGTGAGGAATGTCTACCCTGTTCAAACGACCAGTGAGTGTGAATGAGGTTATGAAACTATACTCCTGTTCAAAAGACCAGTGCGTGTGAGCAAGGTGAGGAATCTCTACTCTTGTTCAAAAAGCCGGATGAGTGTGGACCAGGTGAGAAATGTCTACTCCTACTCAAAAGACTAGTGAGTGTGAACCAGGTGATGAATGTCTACTCCTGTTCAAACGACCAGTGAGTGTGAATGAGGTTATGAAACTATACTCCTGTTCAAAAGACCAGTGCGTGTGAGCAAGGTGAGGAATCTCTACTCTTGTTCAAAAGCCGGATGAGTGTGAACCAGGTGAGGAATGTCTACTCCTACTCAAAAGACTAGTGAGTGTGAACCAGGTGAGGAATGTCTACTCCTACTCAAAAGACTAGTGAGTGTGAACCAGGTGAGGAATGTCTACTCCTGTTCAAACGACCAGTGAGTGTGAATGAGGTTATGAAACTATACTCCTGTTCAAAAGACCAGTGCGTGTGAGCAAGGTGAGGAATCTCTACTCTTGTTCAAAAGCCGGATGAGTGTGGACCAGGTGAGAAATGTCTACTCCTACTCAAAAGACTAGTGAGTGTGAACCAGGTGATGAATGTCTACTCCTGTTCAAACGACCAGTGAGTGTGAATGAGGTTATGAAACTATACTCCTGTTCAAAAGACCAGTGCGTGTGAGCAAGGTGAGGAATCTCTACTCTTGTTCAAAAGCCGGATGAGTTCCAGGTGAGGAATGTCTACTCCTACTCAAAAGACTAGTGAGTGTGAACCAGGTGAGGAATGTCTACTCCTACTCAAAAGACTAGTGAGAGTGTGAACCAGGTGAGGAATGTCTACTCCTGTTCAAACGACCAGTGAGTGTGAATGAGGTTATGAAACTATACTCCTGTTCAAAAGACCAGTGCGTGTGAGCAAGGTGAGGAATCTCTACTCTTGTTCAAAAGCCGGATGAGTGTGGACCAGGTGAGAAATGTCTACTCCTACTCAAAGACTAGTGAGTGTGAACCAGGTGATGGAATGTCTACTCCTGTTCAAACGACCAGTGAGTGAATGAGGTTATGAAACTATACTCCTGTTCAAAAGACCAGTCGTGTGAAAGGTGAGGAATCTCTACTCTTGTTCAAAAAAGCCGGATGAGTGTGAACCAGGTGAGGAATGTCTAACCAAAAGACTAGTGAGTGAACCAGGTGAGAAATGTCTACTCCTGTTCAAACGACCAGTGAGTGTGAATGAGGTTATGAAACTATACTCCTGTTCAAAAGACCAGTGCGTGTGAGCAAGGTGAGGAATCTCTACTCTTGTTCAAAAGCCGGATGAGTGTGGACCAGGTGAGAAATGTCTACTCCTACTCAAAAGACTAGTGAGTGTGAACCAGGTGATGAATGTCTACTCCTGTTCAAACGACCAGTGAGTGTGAATGAGGTTATGAAACTATACTCCTGTTCAAAAGACCAGTGCGTGTGAGCAAGGTGAGGAATCTCTACTCTTGTTCAAAAGCCGGATGAGTGTGAACCAGGTGAGGAATGTCTACTCCTACTCAAAAGACTAGTGAGTGTGAACCAGGTGAGGAATGTCTACTCCTACTCAAAAGACTAGTGAGTGTGAACCAGGTGAGGAATGTCTACTCCTGTTCAAACGACCAGTGAGTGTGAATGAGGTTATGAAACTATACTCCTGTTCAAAAGACCAGTGCGTGTGAGCAAGGTGAGGAATCTCTACTCTTGTTCAAAAGCCAGATGAGTGTGGACCAGGTGAGAAATGTCTACTCCTACTCAAAAGACTAGTGAGTGTGAACCAGGTGATGAATGTCTACCCTGTTCAAACGACCAGTGAGTGTGAATGAGGTTATGAAACTATACTCCTGTTCAAAAGACCAGTGCGTGTGAGCAAGGTGAGGAATCTCTACTCTTGTTCAAAAGCCGGATGAGTGTGGACCAGGTGAGAAATGTCTACTCCTACTCAAAAGACTAGTGAGTGTGAACCAGGTGATGAATGTCTACTCCTGTTCAAACGACCAGTGAGTGTGAAATGAGGTTATGAAACTATACTCCTGTTCAAAAGACCAGTGCATGTGAGCAAGGTGAGGAATCTCTACTTGTTCAAAAAGCCGGATGAGTGTGGACCAGGTGAGAAATGTCTACTCCTACTCAAAAGACTAGTGAGTGTGAACCAGGTGATGAATGTCTACTCCTGTTCAAACGACCAGTGAGTGTGAATGAGGTTATGAAACTATACTCCTGTTCAAAAGACCAGTGCGTGTGAGCAAGGTGAGGAATCTCTACTCTTGTTCAAAAGCCGGATGAGTGTGGACCAGGTGAGAAATGTCTACTCCTGTTTAAAAGACCAGTGAGTGTGAAGCAGGTGATGAATGTTTACTCCTGAACAAAAGACCAGTGTATGTGAACCAGGTGACAAATATCTACTTCTGTTAAAACACCTAGTGAGATTGAATCAGCCGAGGAATCTCTACACCTGTTCAAAATACGAGTGAGGGTGAACGAGGTGATGAATCTCCTCTCCTGTTCAAAAGACCAGTGAGTATGAAGCAGATTATGAATCCCTACTCATGTTCAAAAGAACTAGTGAGTGTGAACCACGTGATAAATGTCTACTCCTTTTAAATAAACTGGTGATTGTAAACCAGGTGTTGAATCTGTACTCCTGTTCAAAAGACCAGTGTGTGTGAACCAGGTTATGACTCTCTACTCCTGTTCAAAAGACCAGTGAGTGTGAACCAGGTTATGACTCTCTACTCCTGTTCACAGGATCAGTGAGTGTGAACCAGCTGAGGAATCTCTACTTCTGTTAAAAAAACCAGTGAACCATGTGTGTTATGGAGTGACTTCACAGTGGAGGCTTGTATTTGTACTAAGTCGGTCCTAAAATAAGTTTCATGTACAAAATGTTAGGAACTTCATATAATAGGTATAACGCAGAGAAATCTAGTTGTGGTCGCTGATAGTGTAGTATTTGACTAACTGTCGTCCGACATCGACTGACTGACCGACCCACTCAGCCGACTCCTCATTACTCTTACTGCTCCTACTTATTATAGGTAGGAGAGTCTTTTAACTATAAAATAGGTGTGTTCCACTATAACAATGTGATGAATGCTTACTCCTGTTAAAAAAACTAATGAGTGTGAACAAGGTGTTGATTCTCTACTTCTGTTCAAAAGACCAGTGAGTATGATCCAGGTGAGGAATCTATACTCCTGTCCAAATCACCAGTTTGTGAACTAAGTCATGAATCTGTACTCCTCTTCCAAAAAACAGTGCATGTGAACCAGGTGCAGAATTGCTACTCCTGATCAAAAGACCAATGATTGTGAACCTGTTGATGAATGTCTACTCCTATTCTAATAACCAGTAAGTGTAAACCAGGTGTGGAATCTCTACTCCTTTTTAGAAGACCAGTGAGTGTTAACCAGGTTATGTATCTCTACTCCTGTTCAAAAGACCAGTGAATGTGAACCATGTGATGTATGTCTACTCCTGTTCTAATAACCAGTGATTGTGAACCAGATGAGGAATCTCTACTCCTGTTCAAAACCAATGTGAAACAGATGAGGAATCTTTTGTTCAAAGAATGGGATATATGAACAAATGAT